AGAGTCTCACTTTGTTGCCCTCAGTAGAGTGCTGTGGTGTCACAGATCACAGCAACTCCAGCTCTTGGGCTTAGGTGATTTTCTTGCCTCAGCCTCCCTAGTAGTTGGGATTACAGGTGCCCGCCACAAGGTCCGGTCCGGTTATTTTTTTTGTTGTTGCAGTTTGGCCAGGGCTGGGTTTGAACCTGCCACCCTTGGTATATGGGGCCAGCGCCCTACTCAATGAGCCACAGGTGCCGCCCGCATTTAGGGTTCTTTCAGTGTCCCCTACCTCACCTGGTTTCCATCTTTGGTTCCAGTTCTTCCAACAGGTCTCTTGTCTATTCCTGCCCATTTTTTAACTATCTTGGATTTATGGGTAAAAATGTGCTTTTAAAATGTGGCCTTTGTGGTCATGTTGGGAGAAGATGTATACTCATCATTGTCATGACATTTGGAGCTTGCCCTGGTGCTGGGTCCTGCTCTGTCACTCATGGACACAACCACTGTTACAATTAGAGTAGAAGGTTGGGGTGGGGGAGCTGCCAGCTTGCCCAGAGCACGCTCCTGTGGCAGCAGTTGAGAGATCACCATGGCAGTCACAGTCATCCCGTGGCCTGACCAGGGCTCCTGGCTGCTGCCTTGGAGTGACTCTGTCCTTTCCCAGTCTCTCCCTACAGCCTTTTGTCTACCCAGTCTGCACCCCGGAAGGCGTCGTCTTTGACTTGCTGTGAGTTTTCTTTGAATTTTGATCTAACATATGGTGAGATTGTTGACAACTTCTAGGGAAGGGGATGTTAGGCCATCCTGTGGGTTAGGCCTTCCAGGCAACACCAAGCCAGGTCTTAGCAGCCTTTGGAGCTCCAGGTGGCCTCTTGAGGACTGAGAAGGGATAGCCAGCTCCAGGGACATGACAGCAGTGCTCTGTGACTCCCAGGCAGGCAGCTGTAGCTGGCCACGTGCTGCTGTTGCTGCCTGGAATGGGTTGACCACACTTGCACTCCGCAGGAGGTCCTCCTGTTCTAACTGGTACATCCATACCTGTTTTGGGATGGTACTGCTCTGAGCGTTCCACCTGACGAAGGCAGAGCTGGGACTAAGGTGCGCACTTTTCTAGTGCTGTATTTTTGGAGCATCATGCCCAGTTTTCCATTCCAACATAAGCTAGTTCCTATAATTTTTTCATGTTTCAGACTCATTATGGAAAATTTAGAAAATTTCCTTTAAAGGAAAAGGGAAAATAATCCCACTACCCAAGATAACCACTGTAAATTTTGAGAGTTATTTTTCCTGTGGTTTTATTTGTTATGTTACCCTCGGTAGGGTGCTATGGCATCACAGCTCAGAGCAACCTCAAACTCTTGAGCTTAAGTGATTCTCTTGCCTCAGCCTCTCAAGTAATTGGGACTACAGGTGCCCGCTACAACGCCTGGCTATTTTTCTTTTTCTTTTCTTTTTTTTGCAGTTTTTGGCAGGGGCTGGGTTTGAACCCACCACCTCTGGTATATAGGGCCGGCGCCCTACTCCTTTGAGCCACAGGTGCCACCCCCAGCTATTTTTCTGTTGCAGTTGTCATCGTTGCTTAGCTGGCCTGGCCTGGGTTTGAACCCACCACCCTTGATGTATATGGCTGGCACTGTAACCACTGTGCTACAAGTGTCGAGCCTGAGGCCTTGAGTCTTTTTTTTTTAAATTATTTTTATTTTTATTTTTATTTTATTTATTTATATTTTTGAGATGGAGCCTCAAGCTATCCCCCTGGGTAGAGTGCCATGGCCTCACAGCTCACAGCAACCTCCAACTCCTGGGCTCAAGCGAGTCTCCTGCCTCAGGCTCCCAAGTAGCTGGGACTACAG